AGCTTGCATTGTTCTTAATTCTGCATTTTAATTATTTTGCTCCTGTAAGACTTTTTCTTGTGACTTCGGGAATAATGTATGTATTATCACATTTTAGTTGTGTCCAGCGTATGCAGAGGCTCGCTGCCAGCGCTCTCTAGAGGGCTAATGCGAACTCATTCTGCAGCCTCGCCTATAAGCATCGCAAGCGAGACCAGGATTTGCAGACACCTGGCACATAGCACTATTTCTCGTCTGCCAAAGCGACGGCCTGCTGTAACTGATTGGTAATAACTGAAAAATATCATGTCTGGCGAAATAAGTTAGTTATAAAAAACGACTCCCAGTTTTATACAGCAGAGACTTGTTTGAACAGTCTGGCAAAGTTACAGTGTCGCACTACACACTGCCTGGCTTCGCAGAGTGTTTAATATTCAACAATGATATTCTATGTGTTTCTAGGCAATGTTCGATTGTCTAGGGAAGCCACATGCTTAGTACTGTGATACTGCAATTTTACCAAAATGTACCAGTGGTTCTCTCCAATGTATAACCCTGAGTCCTTTCTGATGACTAGCTTTTCTTAAGAGATGATTTTTCTCACTGATTTTCTATTCAATTAACTTATGGCAGGCTGGCATTCCTGCTTCCAAGAGAGGGCGCCACGTTCAGATGTCCCCAATTTTTGAGAATGGAAGGTGGACGCGCTTGTTTGAGGTAGCAATCAGTATCTGGTCCACATCATCGCAGTTCTCATAGATGTAGACAGGCTTTTTTTCTTGAGGCACACATTGCAGAGCCAGCAGGTATCGTTGGTGTCGTGGCCAGGTATCCTTGACAGAAGCTTTTGGCAGCCAACAACATAAACGGGAACGAAAAGAAAAATACAGAATGAGAACGTTTTTCTTTGAAATCTTCTTTTCGTGAACGCTTAAATAATCAGCTCATAATACTCAGGCTCTGGTGCACGCTACACAGAGTTGAAAAGTTTATAGTAAACATCGCCGCATTAATTCTCTCACTTGTGCACTGCTGCATGTCATAAATTTTTCCAGAAGTGTTCACTTAAGGTTATATCACCAATGATAATATCTTGGGTTTTACGTCCCAAAACCACGACATCATAATGAGGAAGGCTGAAGCAGAAGGCTCCAGAGTGGAGCCTTCAGTCGCTTTCACAGATACTGACATTTCATATCTACGCAAATACGTGATTACATGCTTAGCTGAGGTTGATAAGATATTTAGTGCCTTTATACGACACTGCTTGTGTTGTGCACTTTCTTGTGTTTCTCTTGTTTCTGACTAAGGTTTTTCTGTGTCCTGTCCTTGATGCGCTATACCTCAGATTCTCGTTTCCTTTTCTTCTTTTTTTGCACTGATCGTGATTGGCTCTGAAAACTTCATTCATGAAAGCAGTGTAGAAGTAGTACAAAATGAGAGTAATCTGGGTCCCTTCTGCGTGGCAGCCCACTACATAGCTATGCCGGTGCTTGAATCTTTGTTGTGAACTGATGTTACGCAGGTTTTGTGTCGGTTAAAGAGTCACGTTAACATGCATAATAAAACATTTTAAAACAGTACAGTAACAACCAGGCATCATACTATGCAAACTGCATAAAGTGCATGTCGTTGAATGTTCCAATTCACAACAAAAGCTTCCGGCATAAATCTTCATCGTCATAAGCTACAGCATCAAGAAAGTGTGTATAATTCCTTACAAGTGTGTAGCGAGTACCACACTTTTCCAAAAAAAAAGATGAATAATAATGCTAAAGACACTTCTCCACTGCGCGAAAATTTTGATGATTTATGGCATAGTGGGTACCACGTATGTATGCATATAGTTGTAGCTCTAAGAGTGTTTTTAAAAAAAGCCGCTCTCCCAGCTTTCACTGTGACCGTGCTGTGCATCCCGCGCAGGCCTAGAGGGCTTTTTTTTTCAATTTGGGCTGAGTTTGCAATTTTGTCCTATCGTTTCTCTTTTGAGGACAGCCATAAAAAAAGCCTTGATATAATTCACAGTAACACCTGCTAAAGTCAACAGCAAAAATTTTTGACACAACATTTATAGTTTAGGCTCTATTCGTGCAATGAAATCCAGAAATATTGTGGTGAGCAAAAGCAGGATGCCCACGCCACCGCATTCAAATATTTTTTTGGTGCACTGGGAGTGTTATTTAGAATAGAAAGTTTCAGTTCCGCACACTTTGGATGTGGCCACATAACATACGAAAAACTCAGACAAAACAAAAATATAGACCGGGCATGCATGTTAGATTTCTCATAGAGTCACCAAGGCTTTCAAGGTATAAAGAAGAGTGTGCTGGTAAGCAAGCATGTTTCAGAGGTGAGTGGTCTTAGTACAGATTTATTTAGACTCATGTTCTTGAAGAGATCCTCCGCACCAGGGGTTATCTAACGGGATTCAAGGAGAAAACGAAATATGAAACATATGACTAAAAACCAGGAGAGCAAATATGAAATTCTTTTTTTAAGTGCAAAGCATTTCTTAGCGAACTTCGGCGACTTTGAGCATATCTATCTATCTATCTATCTATCCATTTATCTATCTATCTAGCCACTTATGTTTGGGTTCTCTCATGGCCACCCCCTTAACTTAGCGTGAACTAAAATCAGTATGGGAGGGTAAGATGGTTTGACAAATATGACTCGCTGGTCAATACTCTCGTGGCCACCCCCTTAACTTGGCGTGAACAGAAATCGGCATGGGAGGGGAAGATGGTTTGACGAATGTGACTCACTGGTCAATACATGAATAATGTCACAATCTCGTCGCGTACGTCGTCAAACACTTCCCGCCAGACAGTGGCACATCACGAGCGGGTATGTGTCATAGGTGATTGACACTTAGTATCTACCCAGGAAAGACGAAAACACACACGGAATATTTTAACGTGTGAGCGTTGATTGATTGATATGTGGGGTTTAACGTCCCAAAACCACCATATGATTATGAGAGACGCCGTAGTGGAGGGCTCCAGAAATTTAGACCACTTGGGGTTCTTTAACGTGCACCCAAATCTGAGCACACGGGCCTACAACATTTCCGCCTCCATCGGAAATGCAGCCGCCGCAGCCGGGATTCGAACCCGCGCCCTGCGGGTCAGCAGCCGAGTACCTTAGCCACTAGACCACCGCGGCGGGGCAACGTGTGAGCGTTAAGCAATACCAGACAACGGCAGCGTCGACCCAATGAAGGCATAGAATAAATGTCAGTGTTAAGAAAAACCTCACATAGGCAGTGTTGACCCCTTTACGAATGCAAATAATAAAATTAAGGATCCCAGCAGGAATCTAACCCATGCATTCTGCGTGGCAGTCAAGTGTTCTACTACGGAGCTACGCCAGGTCTCGGAACTGCTTTTGAAGTAGACGCTAATTTTCATTAAACGTTAATAGTGGTGACAGTGTTGCCTACCCAGTTTTATAAACATTACTTATGTACTCCTTTTACACAGCCGTCATGTTGGCTTAACGTCAATTGCGGTGTTTATTTATGTAGCAGGGTCAAGGGCCAGCATCTTCGCAAGCATCAGCGCTTCATATATCAGCTTCTAGTGTTGCTAATACGCATGTTCCAGTTGACATCGTTGCGCATGTGCGAACAACTGGTTATATCTACAAATTTGCAACATTAGTTTGTGCATGCAACATTTGTACATACATTTAACGTCATTTCATAACGTGTCGCTCAATAGAAAATTGGCTCGAATCTGCATGTAACACTGCAGATGTAATCGAAAGACGATAGTCTTGCGTTCGGAGAGAGTGAACAAAACGTTTATTTGTTGTTCTGCGCAAAAAAAATGGTGAATGGTATTCTCGAGGCGCTGCGTTAGAGTGCCTCGAGCGTGTAGCGGAGGCGAACAAGCGCATTGAGGCATGTTAGACATGAGCGCCATCTGGCAGTTATCTTCCAAAATTAAAGCGTGCGCGTCCGCAGAGAAAGATGCACGCCAGTTTCGGAGGTGGTAAAGTGTAGAACGCAAAGCGATGGGCAGGTGCCACCACTGTGTCAACATAGCAAAGCGTTGGAAACACTTACCTTTTCGAGCATCCCGTTGCACTGTCAATGCAGCGCGATAAATGCTACAGTCCTTAGAATTACTTGTGTGTGCCTCTTCTAGTATAAAGGCAGACATACAAAACTTCGAAATGATGTTATAGCGTCTCAGATATGCACAATAATTGCTTTTTAATTGACAATCGCACAACTATGAACGCTAAATTTTAAGCAATATTGGTGGCAGCTGCGGATGGGGTTGGCCGTTTGGTGCCATTTGAGGTATCGTTAAGGGCGGGCAAACAGACAAATGTACAGACAGATAGACCAAAATTTTTTTCGCCGAAGGTCCCCAAGAAAGACTATCATCTTTAAAAAAATTGCGACACGGTCACCTTTCCTCCGTATGCTTCGCATAACATTGATTTCCAGGTACGTGGGATCTGCTGAATTTTTTTTTATATTTTCGACAGTGCAGTCATGTGTTTTTTATTTAAAAATTGGCAATGATGCTGTTGCCGAAGTTTGAGGTTCTCGAGAAATCACCCACAACCTGATGGCCTAACTTTCTTCTGTATTCATCATAACTGGTGATGACAGTGCAAATATTAGAGCAAGTAATTGTTTTGCAGTATTTAGCAATTAGAATTATTACTTTCTTTGTGCACTGCTTTGATAGCCAACTAAGTAACATTTTAAAAGAGTGGAAGTGCTTTCCAAATGTGTTCAAATGTGTTCAAAGGCTCTTTTAGGTTGGCTCAACAGAATTTGATACCAATCTTTTTAACTGCTTTCTGGGCGTTAATTCTACGAGCACGCCTTACGACCCATCTTGTTAGACCTTGCCAAGGTGTCAGACACTGTCCCAGCCAACATTTTGGTTTGGACTATGATGAATTTCCACTGCAGTACTTTTCTCTGTTTTAGCGAATCAGAGTTGAGGAATTTTTTAGCAAACAATGTATTTCAAGCAGCCTCCATCTTGCCCATGCAGGGTCGGGGTGATGGCCTCAGTGCTGAGCTTGAGCGGTCGCTGCAAGCAGTTGCTCAACAGCCCGATCGGCTGCGCTCTGAGTCACGGCGTCTGGAACAAGCCCTGGACCTCGAGACCACCACCACCACCACCACCACCATGGCAAGCAGAGTTGCATCACCACCTGCCAAGGCATCGCATCCTCCGTCGACATAGTTTGTGCATGCCTGTCCAGTGGAAGCACACACAACCAACGAGCCGGCGGGCTGTGCCATGTTCAAATGTCACCCCAACATTCTTTTTGGTGGCAGTCAGCTGCGAGACTTCGGAAAGTTTGCACAACGATAGGCAGCCCATTCCAGCCAATCTGCATTGTGACCCTGTCTATAAGCTATCTGGTCTTACGAAGTGGCAACTGATTACTTTTGTTGGCGACGAGATATGCCAGCATGTTTGCTGCACAACCTTGAATTTGGCAGCATTTTGTTGTTTTTGCAGGTGATGTAAAATATGCTACTTCTGTACCCATTTAACAGCTTTCTGATGCTTGAATATGAGCATGTACATAAGTGTAGTGGTGTATTTTCATAAAAAAAAGAATTTTCCAACATTTCATGAACAAACTGATGCTCATAATTCAAAATAATTCATCCGTTTGAAAGCTTTCTGTTTCTTGAATAAGGGCACGAACACAAGTGCAGATGGTGTATTTGAAAAAAAAAAGTGAGCATTCAATGAACGAACTCATGCTGATAATTCAAAATGATTTGTCTGTTTGTGGAATTAGTTCATTTTAAAAATAAAAATGTTCAACCTTGAATAAAATTGTGCATGTAACTTTTAATTCAAGCTCTTTGATTTCTCAACAATGAATATAGCAGGATTTTATAAAGCGACATTTGTTATTCAAGACCACATACACTGTAGCATGTCTTCATCTCTTTGTTCTAATGTGCAAGATTTTCATGGGATGTGAATGTCACTTTGATCTATACAAGGAAAAATTTGTTCCAAAGAATAATAAAAGAATCACTGCCACTGCTTGCTTTAGAATATAATACAGGTAGAAAACTTTAACGCTTTAATAGTTTGAAAAAAAAGGTTTCTTTTAAAAAAAAAGTATCTTTTTCTATGTCATGACTAAGAAGCTAAGACAACAAACTAGGAGGAGAAGCATGCGGAACAGGGATGAGTTCGTGCATAAAGTAGCACACAGCTCGACGCGCGTGGCACGAGCAGTAATGAGAGGTCACAGTTTGATAAGCTGGCATTTTTTGCATGCGTGGCTACCCAGGCATAAAACGTTTTCTTGTTAAAAAATGAAGGCATCTTCCCGAAGGGCAATATGGGGTGATGCAGAGCATTGCGGTTGTGCAGTGCGAGCAGTCGAGTTTTTTTTTTTTGTCACTCAAGAAACTCGCTAGCAGACGCTGCCTGTGTCGGTATTGGGAGACATTGGGAGGCAGGAGAGGGGAGCCTAGGAGGTGAGAAAAAGGGGAGGGGACGCCCATGGGTGAGCAAGCGCAAACAGGTGCTATGAGAGAAGTGGAGCTAGAAACGAGCAGCTGTTCAGACACTGCTGAGTCGGCTTTGCAAAACATCGCAAAAGAAATGTCTAGAGGAGAGGGGCGAGTGAGCGTAGTTAACAGACACTCCATGCGTTGGCATTGCAAGGCAGAATGGGGGGAGCGTGGGAGAGGAGAGAGAGAAAGGGGAGGGGATGCCCATGGGCAATGGGGGAGCGAGAGTAAGCAGGTGGTAAGAGAGAAGTGGAGAGACAAACGCACAGCTGTTGGAGAGACAGAAAGAAGAGAGTCACGCATGCGCTGTGCAAGTGCAGACTACTCACGCGTGACATACGCCCAAGCAAGAAATGCCTCCTGTCTAAAATGCTTCTACTAGCATTGTTACTGCTCCACAGTGGTAATTCAGTATTGAAAAAGTGTCTTTTATGAACAAGGCACACTGGTATTTGTGCCATCATGTGAATGTTTCGTGTTGGAGCTCATTTGGCTCCATGACAACATGCTAGATTCACCAACCGCTGTCAGAGAAAAATCTAAATAGCTTTCCTGTTAAGTAAAACAACAAATTTGCGAATCCATCGAAGTGTCTTATATACGGTGACAGGTATACAGTATCGGATACAACATTCGTATTAGTATCTTTCATCTGTATCTCCAATGTTTTTTGCCTGAATATTTTGTATCGTATCGGGATAAAATCTCAAGGTATTTTTGCCCATCCCTGGAACTTGCACTACTCTCACAATGAGCCTCACAAGCTAACACAAAGTGAAATGCTTTGACGTTATATTTTGGCGAGTGGTTTTTACTGCTATATAAATGCTTTAACCATGACCTCTAAGATTGTGCGCCGGCGTCTAATCTCAGACGTCATGCTTTAACTGCATTATCGACAAATCGTACCCTATCAGGGCCAGTAAGTACGCTGCAGCATTACCTCTTGTCATCGTTCACAGACGGCGGCACCACCCTGTCCCGCTCCCGCCTAGGGGCTTCAGTCCCGCCAACAGAGACAACCATGTGAGGGAGAATGTGTGAGATATGAGGGGCATTAGCAAATAGTATTTCATCTGTCGCAATAGCAATTAGTTGTTAGAGCGCCGGGCGCACACGGCTCCGGCTCGTGCTTTCGAAGGTTTGATTCCTGGCAGAGGAAGTTTTTTTTACAGTTTTTTCTTGTTTTGGTAGCATTCATTTTATCAACGTCATATCTGTGACGGAAATACGACAATAAAGTCTTCATGGACTCCCGCATAAAACAATATCGAGTTGAAATACAGCCACTCCAGGAGGATCTAGCTATACTTTTCGCACAATGTCTTTGCAATGAACGCCGTGCACCAACGATAGCGACCGCATCCTCAAGATAAAACTATATGCAGCATTTTTGCCGGTGTTTCATATGCCGGCGTCACTCAGCATCGATGTTAAAACTGATAGTGGCTGAAGTGCCCACTTATGGACATTCTAGATATGTGCAGCGTCGACGCCGGAAGTGGTTCGACAGATTAAGAATCAATGAGCGCGCGGTCGGCAGTGACTTCTGCCACGTAATGATATCGTCACTGCCGTCAAGATGGCTGCCGCCTGCCTCGGATTCATGGAGGAAGAAAAAGAAAGAAGGGAGCATTATGTCACGCAGCCAGACTTCTCAAGTCAACCCGTTTTGAAACCAGCCGTGTCGGCCCTACACGTGACATTTACAGTGAGATCACGCAAGCAACGAAAATTGCTGAGACTTCGAGGCATGGCATCCGGTAGCTTTTAATCAAAACGAGCTGATTCAGCGCAGACCAGCTGGCTCGCATGCACAGTTCGAACATGGACCACCACCAAGAGTGCTTAAACATATGACATTTTGATCATGTGTTTGGCCACGAAAGCCTCTTGAAAACCTGGAGTGGCCACATTTCCTCTAACTGGTGTTCTATTGACTTACATGACATCGGGTTCAAAACGAGCTGAGCCTCATAGTAGAGTAATATCAACTAGCCCCCTACTCACACTTTGCTATCCTCACTTTGTATAACAACGCAAAGTGTTAGTTTCAGTTAAGCTTTTAACAATGAATGCAATACCAACGAATTTAAAGGCTTGACGGCATTTGTTGCAAGCCCTAGCAGTGAAGGTCTGCGCGCGCAAAGTACTTGCTGCACACGCTGTTTTCGAGATCACTATGGCGACTTCGATGAATAGAGACCTTTGTTGCATGCCGATGCACATTCCGCATGGACGATGCGTATGACAAGACGTCCAAAATGGCCTGGTGATCAACGTTACTAGATCCTTTCCAGTTGTCAAACTCCACCTGAACTGCCCCGGAAACATGACCCTTCTCCGTTTACTGTCACCAGGGGGCGCCGCCGCCATGGTCAGCCCGATTGGCAGGTCAGCTTGCAGCTAAACACGCAGCCTCCTCCTGCAGCTCAGCGCGGTAACGGATGTTGTCCATAGATTCTACATGCTTTTTCGGCTAATATTTTTCCGGTATTAGAAACAAATTGGTTGCTATTATCCAGAAAACCGGGAAAAGTTGGGTGGGCAACCTGTATTGCTCACGATCTTCCGATTAGCGCGTACCGCGAATGCCCGGCTGCAGGCTCGGTTCGAAATGGCTAGAATATTTCCGCACAATGTTTACACACTCCGCCACTCGGAAGCATGGTTGCTTGTGCTTGTTGCTGTAACAATTAGCGTCTTGATAAGGCAAACTACCAGCGAGGACAGGAGAAAGAAGACGACTGAAAGCGCTCGCACTCAGCTTTACTGAAGCCTAGCACCTAGCTTTTCAGCGGCCGCAGCGAAAAAAAGTATGTACGGCCTGACAAACATCTATTTCACGCACAAGCATGAGTACTTCACACATTCAAAGAACACTAAGAATCTCATCTGGTTGCTGCGTGATTTATCACAGTAGGTACGCCTTTTTGTTTGCTATTGCCCCTTTTTCGCTGCTTCCCAGATGGCGGTTCACATCCCACGAGTAGAAATGCATGCGAGTGATGACGAAAAAGTTTGACACTCGGCACGTGAATGCAGCATTGTGCTGGTCACAGCCAAGTCGAGAAAGGTGATGCTCCTCCAACTCTTCCAACACTTTCCAAAATATGTCCCCATAGAGACCCTCCTTGTCCAGACAAGCTAAAATTATCTTGTTTGACATTTTATGAATGTCAACATCTTCTGTGTTGGATGCTTTAAGCTGCCTTGCTTGAAGCTCCTGTATTCAGTTAAATAGCTGTGAGAAGCAAGCACTGACGTGGCGGAGCTGATGTCCTCTATGCAGAGATGGCATGTTGCATGCTTGGTGAACTTGTGTATGACGTAGCCACACAGGTAGTATACAACAGTGTCCTCCACATCACCCCTGTAATACGCATGGCCGCTTGGTCCTTGCTCAGATGCATCAGCAGAAGCAGTGGTGATTTCCATCATTTTGGCTTTCACTATGTCGTGCAGGCGGACTTTCTCTTCTTCATTGGCAAACTTTGTTCTCTTGAGTGTGTCAGTAACACTAATGAGCACAGAACATGGTGTGCCTTGGGCACTGCCACGCAGAGCTGTCTTTATCGGTGTGTAGAGGCTGAGGAGGCGGAATATTTGACTGATGTTGACAACAGTGGTGTGAGATTCGTCACCTCCAAATGAGCGTGCCAGCCCGAAGTGTCGCTGAAAACAGAAATATATGGCTTTCAGTTGCACTGACCTGTGCTAACAAAACGCACCAAGTAAAAACAAGAATGACACGCTTATATCCAAGGGGTCCTGATTTAACTCTGCTGTAAGTACATAGTGGGCACCTTGAGTCAGCAAGTATTCAATGATGTCTATGGTAGACAGCAAAGTGACTCGTAAAGACTGTGTTATTTTCTGGGACGGAAAAAGCTTCAGGTTCTTTTCGACTGAACTTCGTTCTGTCATGTTAGGCATCTCCAAGAAGGATTTTAGGATCTTAAAATATTAGTTTCGTGTTGTTGACATGCTGAACAATGTGAGCACTCAAGAACATGCAATGCCCCATCAGGTGAATAGGGGTCCTGTAATCACCTGTATTTCTTTCGAGTGGCGCCTCACTCCTCTCAATGGTAGCTTGATGTTCAAAGCATCAAAAAGGTCATTGACCATCCTGGTGAATGTTTCAGTGCCTTCAGAGTTTTCTATGCCTGGCACTTTGGCTTCTCTGTACAGCTTGATGCCAACTGCTGTACTACGGCTGAACACCTGTTAAGAAAGCGCATTTGTGTTCAGAATAATGAACACAAACAGCATGCAACGAGTAAGACGCATAGACTATAGTAGGCAAAATACCTGGGTGGCAAGCCTGACACTCATCTTCTGAAGGTTGTCAGGCGCAACATGGCTCACGTCAGTATTGGCACGACTCGTAGGTGTTAATCTTTTTCTGTGTCAAACAGCGTGACGTGTTGGCCAAAGTTATCTTATGATAACTTGCCTGGAAATAAGAAAGTGATTGATTAAAATCTAATTCAAAACATTTGCAGTTTAGTTTTTTTC